TGGCTATGCACGGCTCGGGCAGGCCGGTGGGGAAGGACGAGGACATTATGGACTGGAGGGAGCCACAGGACATGAAGGGCATCACCACCCAAAGGGAGGTGCCAGCGGCGAACGAGCAGTGGGCCCGGAGGATGTTGGGGTGGTTGAGGAGGCTCAGAGTCTTGGCTTCACGGCGAACGTTCTCGAGATCGGCCCGTGATTTTTCGAGGTCGATGGCTTTGATTGCTACTGTGGAGGAGTTCATGGGGATGCAGATGGCTTTGTATACGGTGGCGCTCGTTCCACGCCCGATCTCGTCGAGGATTTTGTAGGAGTTGGGGTCGAGTGGGTAAGTTTCTTGTTTTTCAAGGTGAGCCATTAGGATATGTGATGACGATTTTTTTTTTTATATATAAAATGGTTTGGTTCTTCTAGCTGGGAGAAGGGTTATATGATGAGAAAAAGTTGCGGGAAAGAGTGGTTTTCTTGTGAGGGAGTGAGAGAGATTTATGCAGCTGCTATGTGTGGGGAAAAAAGTGAGGGTTCTTATAATTCATGTGATTTTTCAACTGTACATGGATGTGAAATGAAAATGGTTATTCAGTTGTGTGGAGAGCTTTGTGGATGGGGGATTTCGTAACTTAAAATTTTTCTGCAAAACTTTATTTGAACAATGTATTAGCCCGTTTATACGTTTATATTAATATAAAGTAGTGTGTACCCCGTGCGATGCACGGTAACAATATTACATTAACAATATTCTAAATATACCTCGAGTTTGAGTCACTCAATGGCAGAAGTAGAAACTATTATTGATCCTATTTAAAAAGAGGAAGAAAAAAATAATAATTATATATTAAAGTGTCGGGGTCAGATAATGTAAAATTATTTTGTATAAGAGAATATAAATTTTATATTATTTTGTATAATAGAATATAAAATTTGTATGTTTAATATTAAAAACACTTAAAATATTATATTAGTATATGTAAAAGTATTCAAATTTTCTATATTATTTTTAAAAGATATGAAGTCACCTACAACTTTTCTAAACAATTTTAGAAAGAAAACATATCTAAAAACATTTGAATTTAACATTATGTAAAAAAAAAAATTCTAGACTATTTTGTAAAAAAAAACATGTCTACAAATAATTAAATTTAACATCAATTATGTATATGTGTATATGTGTTATATAGACGAATAAATAAAAAAAAAAACAAATGTCTAAACAATTTGTTTAAAATAACTAAATATTATAAGGCTAATTTAATAAATACCTTCGGTCAAAAAACAGGAAAAAAAAAAATCAAATATCTACACATTAAATCAGATATAATGTTTCGAAATATCTGCCTAAAAAGAGTTTAAATGAAAAGGAAAAAAAATCTAACACAATATCTATTATTTTGTTAACCTAAAAAATTAGGAAACAGAGAAACATCACAAAAACCACCGCATGTATTATTTTGTTAACCTAAAAAAATAGGAAAAAGAAAAACATCACAAAAATCAGTGCGCGATTTTTTTTGTTAACACTATATCAATGTTTATTTAATGATTGTAGAGGAAAAATAATGATTTAGCGGGTATTTAATGATTTTAGAGGGAAATAATGATTTTGGCGGGTATTTAATAATTTTGGAGGGAAAATAATGATTTTGGCGGGAAATCATAAAAAGGTTATTCTTTTAATATAATGATAGATAACATTTTAACATATTTATTTAATTTTTAATATAAAAAATAATAATTTTTCATATTTTGGTTCATCATAATACTCAAATATTATTTTACTCAAAAATTATTGTCGTATAATGTCAATATTATTTATAACATTTATAGCAGTTATATTCCTTAATATAAAATGAAATATATAATATGCATTAATATTATTTATTGATGTGATTAATTTAAAATAATATAAGTAAATCTAATGTTTGTTAGGAATGTGACAGATCTCGATATGTTAGGTACAATATATGTACAGATATATGACATGAATATCTTGAGATACAAAAGGAATTTTTAAGTGATTTGTTACCTTAAGAAATCAACTGCAATTACTAAATTGTATCTTTAAAACATATAAAGTGCTTAAATAGTTTCCAAAATTAGTAAACAACATTTTTTTTGCAGGAAATAGTTACTATTTAAAAAATAATTAAACCTTTTTTTTTTATATACATATATAGATTAAATTAGTTATACAATAAATTTTATTGCATCTCTAATTTTAAGCTCTACGGAATAGGATATGAGCATTCCGAATTGAAAAAAAAAACAAAAAAAAAAATATACAAGTGAAGATGATGCACTTTTTCTTCTGCAATAGAAGGGTCCTGTATGGGTTAAGGTTATCAAGGAATGGTCCTGCTCTTTCTCATATGTTCTTTGCAGATGATGCACTTTTCTTCTGCAAGGCTGAGATGGGCCATGCTCAGGCTCTTATGCACCTTTTGGAAAGATACAGGATGTTCACTGGGCAGAGAGTAAATTTTCAAAAGTCATCTGTGTTCTTTAGTAAAACACTCCAGCTCATGCTCAAGATAGTATTTGCTCTGCTTTAAAGTGCATCCAGCATCATACCTCCACCAGATATTTGGGCCTCCCATTGTGGATAGGAAAATCAAAGAAAGAGGTATTTTCCTATGTGATTGAATCTTGTTAAATCCAAGCTGTGGAATTGGAAGAATAAAATGATCTCTGTTGCTGGCAAGGAAGTGTTATTGAAAGCAGTTATAAATGCCTTGCCAATCTTTGCTATGTCCTGCTTCAAGCATCCTCTGCCTACCTGTAAAGCTATCTCTAGTTTGAGTGCCCAATACTGGTGGAGTAAAGGAGAATCTCAAGAGAGAGGTATTCCTTGGAGAGCATGGAATCTGATCTCTATTCCTAAAGCTTATGGAGGCATTAGATTCAAGGATGTCAACTCATTTAATCAGGCTTTGATTTGTAAACAACTTTGGAGGCTAGTTCCTCAGTTTGATATTCTGGTTAGTAAGTGCTCAAAGATAGATACTTTCCCCATTGTACTATTTTTGAAGTCATTAAAACTCAGAGTGGCTCATGGATTTGGAATACATGGGTAGATTGCTTGCCTATATTTTCACAAGGGTACAGAACTGAGATTAACAATGGCGTTGGTAATAGAATCTCTGATATAAATTGGGTGCCTGATTTGCCTTCACCTAAACTATCACTGCTGGCGGTTGCGAGAGGTCACATTACTTGGGTGAAGGAGATGCTTCAGGAGGATGGCCTGCATTGTAATACTTGGCTGGTGGAACAATTGTTCAATGAAGATGACAACAAAGCTATTCTAAAGATCAATACTCTTAATCTATCCAAATATGACAGAATCTTTTGGGTTTGGAGAAAAATGTGAAGTTTACTGTCTCTTCTATTTGCTCTCATCTGATACACCAGAAAGTGTTGCTTCTTGATATCCCAGGTACGTAGTAGCAGGAATGCTCATAAAATCAAAAAAGCCAGGCTCAGAATATGGAATCTCAAAATTAAAGGAACTCTTAAACACTTCCTTATATGGAAGTGCCTCTCAGGTACACTGCCAGTTAATTCAAATCTGGTTAAAAGAGGAGTTGAGGTGGATGTTCTCTGTGGCTGTTGTGGTGAATCCTCTGAAACTATAGAACATGTGTTCTTCCAGTGCCCAAGAGCTAAGCTGCTGTGAAAATTAAGCCCTGTACAATGGGATGGGATCAGTAATGATGGGGGTTCATTCAAAGCACAATGGTGGCATCTTTGCTCCATTAATAAATCTCATGTAGCTGAGGACCGTATGCAACTCACAACATATCTTTTATGGTGGTTGTGGAAGTCTAGGAACCTGTGGATGTTTGAGCACATTTAAATGCCAATCCAAGTGGTGATTAGCAAGGCTCATCAAGCCTGGTTGGAGTTCAGATCTTCTCATCGATGATGGTTTCAGCTTAGGGGTCTGTCAGTGCTTTTTGTAGTGTCTTGTTGTTGTCTTCTGTTTCTGGTTTGTGTGTGGTGTTGCCTTCATTGTGTATTGGTGTGTGGTGCAGCTTGCTTTGTGTCTTTGCTCTAGTATCTGTTGTTGTTGGTGTTCTGAGTAGTTTGGATAGTTTGGAGATTGTTAAGGGGCTAGGCATTGTTGCAGTGGTCTTATTACCTTTCTTCAGGTTAGTCGAGGTTGTTGTCTCTAGGCCGCCTTTTGGCGTGTCCTCCCAGTTGCTCTTTTCTTTTCTAGGTTCAGGTTATTAGACCATTTGGTCTCTTTGGATTCGAACGTTGTTAATTTGGGTTGTTATAATATTATCTCTATCAAAA